CTTTGGACAGGTAAACGCACATGCACACAAAGACACACGAGTATGCATATTGATGCAACCACACACGCGCGCGCGCACATGTGTACGTGCATGCGTTGGTCGGGCTTCTTCCTCCCTCCCCCACTCGGCCTGGATTGCTCACACCACCAACCACGCATCTGTGCCACGTCGCCAACTGTTAAATACATGCACAACTTGTTGTCTTGCGTGTGTGTGTGTCTGTTTGTGTCTGTATGTGACTGTGTATGCGTGTATGTACTACACAGGCAAGCAGGTGATTTCGCTGCTTCTGAAGCCGAACAAGTTCGATCCCACTGAGATTTATCTCCAGGCCAACAACCGCTCCTACGACAAGGACTACGCGAAACAGGAGGTGGGATGTGTTGGTGTTGGCATGTGCACGCTTCCTTACCCGCACATATCCACACGCATTGCTTTGCATACATGCTACATGCCTGTGTTGTGTGTGCGTGTGTGTTCTTGTCACACTCACCCATTCTCACACACACACACACACATCTCTGTCTCACCACCGCCATCATCATCACCACCACCACCACCGCACACACACGCACGCACGCACGCACACACAATTTTTCCCGCCCTTCTCCCCAGTTTGGTGGAAAGCCGACGCTTGGGGAGAAGACGCTGTGCCCCGAGGATGGCTTTGTTCTCATCCGCAAATCGCAGCTGCTGTCCGGCTTCCTCGACAAGGGCATCATTGGGGAGAGCAAGTCCAGCATCTTCTACGCGCTCCTCTGTCACTACGGCGCACCAAAGGCTGCAGAGGTCCGCATGCGGCGTGCGTGCTTGTGTGTGTGTGCGTGTGCGTGTGCGTGTGCGTGTGTGTGCGCGCGTGTATTTTGTGTGTATGTGCGTGCACATGCGTGTGGATGCATTGTGCGTCCATGGTGCGCCGTTCCCTGTGGTGGAGTTTCGCGCCTGCATCCACCGCTTTCTTCGTTCATCTCACGTGTCGGTATTCTGCGTTGTTGCGTGGGCGGCCTGCAGTGTATGAAGCGACTGAGCAAACTCACCACGCGCTTCCTCATGAACCGCGGCTTCTCCATCGGCATAGGTGAGAGCACACACATGCATGCAAGCAGGGATCAGTGCACAAAGGCACATGCACACACGCACAGACGCACGCATACATCCATACACACCCACATGACACATGCATGCCCGCACTCGCTCGCACCCAGTTGCATCTCCTTGCAACGCTTTTGTTTGATTGCTCATGTCACTCTGTCCCTCTCCACTCGTGCACATGTGTGTGTGTGTGTGTG